AGAAATTGAGTATGTAGAAAGGGGGAGGAGAGCATGGATAAAATCACACCTAATGGGAACAATGCACAATCTGGTGATGGGCACACTTACACCTTTGACTCAAACTGTACAAAAGCAATTCATATAACCAAAACATTTGTAACCCCATAATATTCTGAAATAAAAAATTTAAAAAATAAATAAAGTTATCATCATACAGGAACTCAATACTTTTCCCAGTTCATAAATATTAAAAATTCTACAAATTTCTTATTTCAAGTAATCTAAGAAACAAACAAATTCCAACAGAGTAGTTATGAATGCAGGCTGATTAGACTGGTTAGGTTCAAATTCCCCATACTATGTGTGTGATCCTGGTCAGACTGCTTAACCTATAAAGGGCTGGCTGTTTCTTATCTGTAAAATGAGGATAGTGTTATTTACCTTATAGGGTTATTATGAGAATTACATACGCTAATACATGTAAAATACTTACAACAGAGTCTTGAATTTAAAAACAATAAATATTAGCTATTATTGAAACCGTCTTAATCACTATTATAAGTAAATACAGATTCACAATGAGGAACATAAACATATAGTTAACCAAAAGCAAGCAAGGAATAAACACATTATTGAGTGAATAACACATTTTTAAAGTATATGTGACATTCAAAAGTTAATTAACAGTGGAATTTTATTACTTTCTCAAAAAAAAAAAAAATCAGCTTGCACAATTAAGGAAGCAGATGAATAAGTAAGTGGTAAACCAAAAACAAGAAAGTAATTCCCACAAATCTCGGAATAGCAGTCTCTAGTGAAGAAGGAACAGTGTGGTAGAAAAGAAACACATAGGAGGCTTATCAGATACTAGCAATGTCCTATTTCTTGCAGTGTGTGGAGAATAAACAGGTGATAATTTTTATTATTCTTTGCTTTTCAGTACATAAATGTATAGAACTTTTCAGTATATATCTTATATTCCAACATTTTGTTTAAAAAGAAAAGTTAAAGAATAACATATCTAAAACATCATATCCTATCATAGAAGTGGAAAATACGAAAAATTCAAAAGTTCACAAACTACCAGCTTCTCAGTAAGAAATATACAATCTACCAAATATAAATCATGTTTCTATCTTTTAAAAACTGCAGGAGGGCCTTTTTGTTAAGACGGAAGGGTCCATTCACCATTCTGTGGTGAAAGTATCTTGCACTTAACTCTGTAAACCTGTATCTTGCTCTTGCTCTGTAAGCCTACCTTGTCTTTCCTCAATAAACTTCATTTCACACTTGCCTTCATTTTTGGTATGTCTGGTCATTCTTCAGCCAAGAGCACACCAAGAACCAAGAACAGACAAGATTACCAACCACCCCCAACCCTGATATTTTGGTGCCGTGACTTGGATCACTCTATCTATAACTTCTGAGCTCAAGTCTCAGGCTCAGAAGGAGCGGAGGAAGGAGGCTAGGCATGCCCAGTTAATGGCAGCATTGGAGCCCATATTGAGACCAACGGCCAAAGCCCCCACCAAGGGAAGGGATCTCCAGTGCCACATCTGCCGAGGGGAAAGGCATTGGGCCAAAAACTGCCCCAAAAAGGACAGGCTGCCCCCCAGGCTCCTTGTCATCAGTGCCATCAAACAGGTCACTGGACTGTACTCTATTCTATGGGATCATCCCAGGAGGGGAGTTGGTCCCCAAACTGGATCATGTTACAACAATGAAGGAGATGGTTCCCGTCAGCCCCCTGACAGATAACCATCACTGGACTGGAGCCAAGAGTAACCCTCCTGGTGGCAACTTTTCCTTGCAGGACTGAACATCCTGCTGAAGTTTTCTGAAGACTTCTGGAGTACATCATACCTCATTTTGGCCTTCCCCAGTCCTTACAGAGCAACAACAGTCCTGCCTTTACTTCAAAGGTCCCAGGGATACCTACGTGGATCCATCATTCTGAGGTGAAGCAATGGAAAGACCAAAATGAAACTCATCTGGCCCCCACGGATGAGGACTCCAACACCAGAGGCAAATACTCCTGTACTCCATTGGAGCATCTCTGATACCTGTTCAAGCGGACTTTTCCTACTGTGCCTCCTTCAGGTAAGTAGTACAAACTGTTTACCCATGGGTGAGACACCTCTTGCTCTGGCAAACTAACTGCACATACCATAAGGCTCAACCAAACTTGATGGATATGCCTGTTCACTCCCTTTTGTTAACATATCAGGGTAGGTTCAAGACAACACCAATGCCATCCTAGAGTCCACTTCCAATCTCCAGATGCAAGGCAAGACCTCTAGGCCCTGGTGGACGTCTTTGGTAATTCCCTTGGTGACACCATTACTTTGCATCTTGGTAATTCTAATACTGAGACCGATCCTCATAACTTTTCTAACTAAACTTATTTCATCCCACCTAGAGGCCATAGAGCTACAAATAGTCCTACATTCTCTACCAGCTTCAGTGCCTACCTCCTGACACCTACAACTACAACCATCTACCGAGGATATATACCAAAGTTTCCTGGAGAGACTTCCAAGAGAACTTGCAAGAGGCCACGCTAATAGGAATCGTCACTCTGCTCAGCACGAAGCAGCCAGATGAGTAGACACCCCTACCCAACAAATTGGGCCTCTAAAATAGAGAGTGGGGAAATGTTAGGAAGACAGCAAGGGACCTCTGAGACTCTCCAAGGGGACCAAAGTGGGTGCCTTGCCTTGGTGCTGCCTTTAGCAATTGCCCCACCTGGGAAGAAGGATAAGGACAGAACCCGTCTAGGTGTTGCCCCACCTTAATCCTGCCCCAAGTGACTGGCACACCTGGGGGAAGGAGGAACCCCTGCCAATCTGCAAAAAAATGCAGGAAATCCCCCAGCCCACAGGCTCAGCACCCCAGGCACAATAGAATTTGGAAAGTGGCCTAGAGTAACCTAAAGCTAATTATCATCTCATTAACTGTCCATCAAAGTAGTCCCATGGCGACGTCTGAACCACGGGGTGGGCCCAATCCATACACTATGAAACAAGACCCCAGACCATCATCAGAGCCCTTTTGTTAAGACAGAGGGGTCCCTTCAAGCATATCTTGCTCTTACTCTGTAAACCTATCACTTGCTCTTGCTCTATAAACCTATCTTGTCCTTCCTCAATAAACTTCATTTCATGCTTAAACAAAAATCTGCAGGAGAAGCATATATACAAAGAAATTTCAGTGCTAGGTTTCATTCACTTGAAAGGTGACTCTACCTCCTCTTAAGACATTGAATCAACAGCACATGCATAAGATATTACCCTAAACAAGAAAAAACCTACAAGCTTACAAGTGGACACTACAACACTATAAGTTGCAAAGCTCTTAGAACATAGACTTCTCAGTTGCACTTTCAGGTATCTAATTGGCTAAGGAACATTTACACTTTAATGTCCACAGGTACCTCAAAACTCATCTTTTTCTCCAAAATTTTTCCCTTCTTATCTCCAGCCTACTTAACAGTTATCACTATCTACCAGGTAACTCAAGACTGGAATCTGGTAAACTGTTTAAATTTTATTTTTAAGTAGAACAATGCGAAGCCTGTGAGGATTTTAAGGAGAGGAAACCAATCTGACTGCAGTATGGATTACAGGAGAGCCAAAATGGAAGCAAGAAGACCAATAATGTTAATAAAGCTAATAGAACCGATAGATGATGCTAGATTCGATGAGAGTGATAACAGTGAAGGTGACAAGAACTGGATGGATTCCATATAAATTTTGGAGGTAATATTGACAAAACGTGATGAAGGATCTCATGTTAAAAGAGAAGGAAAGAGTGTGTCATGACGAATCTCAGGTTTCTGGCTTGAGCAACTATAGAAGATGACGGTACAATATTCCAAGAAGAGGAGACTGAAAATAGAGGAGAAACAGAGGCAGTAGGTGGTCATGAGGATATTAATAATTCAATTTTGGACATATTTTGTTTTGAGGTATCTGTGAGACAGAGAAATGAAAATGTGAAGTATGCATTGGAAATTTAATTCTGAACCTTCAGGAAGTGTGGACTAGAAATGCAAATATGGGTATCAACAACATATGAAAGGTACTTAAATCCATGGAAAAGAATGAAATTAATTCAGGAGAACATTTAGGTAAAGAAATTAGAGACTGACCAATGAGAACACCAACATTTAGAAACCACTGCAAAAGGAGAAGTCAAAAAATTACTTCTCTTTCCTTCTCTCTTCATTAAAAAAAAAAAAAAAAAAAAAAAAAAAAACTTACTTGAAGATCAACTTCTCTGTGAAGTCTTCAACTCCCAAAGAAAAGTTGTAATTTTCCCACCTACACCTTTTTTAGCTCTCTAGTTATACTACTACTCTTAACATGCTACATTATCATGATTTACTTAAATGCCTAGTTCAACACATATATTGCCTCCTTGGGAAATGCTTTGGTCTTCTTTGCATTCACGGAACCTAACATATCATCGAGCACATAGAAATCACTTTTTGAAATATGAAAACAAAAAAATTATGAACCTATTTTTACTACCTTTTCAACATAAAAAAAGTAAAATAAGTACGTTGCACATTGATA